TAATTTAATGATGCGTCTGTTTTGGTTTCACAGGGAATACATCAAGGCGTAATTGAAGGAGATTTTGCACTTTGTATCAGTTTATATCATGGCTATGAGCTGCTGCTGCAAATGGGACTACGGTCATTATTTATCTACCTTTGTGGAATTATGGATGGATCAAAAGGTGAAACATCTTCAGGAACATCCTTTCCTTTGTCTCCTCTCCTTCTCATTTAATTTACCTCATCTCTATGGCTAGTTTTGCACAAAGCAGCTTATATAATGAATGGGTTGCAAATGTAATTGGTATTTTGTTCCCCTTCATCCCTACTGGAAATATGTTAGCACAATGTTAAAGATAGAGTCTATTTGGGAAAGCAAATGTGTTTATGTGGCAGCAGTTCTGAAAAAAATAAAGCACAAACAGAACTCAGAGTAAGTGGCAGTAATATCTTTGGAGATACAGAATAACCATTAAACAATTTAAATTAAGAAAATGTTTGGTCTTGTAAAGCACTTCCTCACCCTATAGCAAAACTCATGTATGCTTGACTTATAAGTGTCCTTGCCAGAAATTGCAGATTTGGACACATCGCAGTAGAATTTCTGTCTCAGCTGTGCAATATCTTCCATTCTCACTAAGCAAAATAGAAAGTTTTTAGAATAGAATAGAGGCCTTTTCTGGCCTCAGTTTATTTTCCTAATTCTATCACTGGCTATTGTGAATCTTTTGCAACTCTCCACGGTCATGTTTAAACCTGCTGGGTTGTCATTGCTATCTGGAAGACCTGGTTTGGTACTCACATCTTTTTTTGAGGGGGAAAATCAACTTGGCAATGTCAGTCCAACAGCAAGTGTCTTCTAAACACTGGATGTGGGAGGGGAAGGTTCCAGCTGTTCAGATTACCCCATGGTGTGGCTCTGGGGTTTTCTGACTTCATTTTGGTTTACGTTTAGCTGTGTAACTCTGTGGTAACTTACAAAACCTACTTCACCTACAGCGCTGCTTGATTAAAATGACACTGCTTTGTTCTATGTCTGAACCAAAAGCATACAGAGCTTGCTTCGTATTATAGAATGTATTTTTATAATATGCATGTGCTAAGAAGTTCTCATTAATTTTATGCTTTTGACTTTTTTGCAATTTAATACTTTTGCACGTGCAGATTTTTACATTTCTGATGGTATAGTGCTGCTGTTAGACCTAGGCACCAGAGAGCATTTCATGTGTTTCCCAGTTTCTCAGATTCCTTAAATCCCTCTCTGCTATTGAGTAGAATAGAATATTTAAATAGAATGGAATATTTGAATAGAATAGAATATTTCAGTTGGAAGGGTCCTACAACAATCATCTAGTCCAACTGCCTGAAAGGTGACTGATGGAAAGTAGTTCTAATAAATAGGTCTGTACTGATTCTGCTAAGTTTGATTTCTAGTTTGAGTAGAATGAAATTATTTTCAACATCGACATAAAATCATTCAAGAAACTCGTTAATTCTAGCGTTTTTGTCTAGGTTCCCTTCTCTTTGAGTATCTGGCAGCACTTCATAGAATCACAGAATGGTTTGGGTTGCAGGGGACCTTTCCAGATGCTCTCGTTCCAACCCCCTGCCGTGGGCAGGGGCGGCTGTCGCTGGGTTGGGTTGCTCGGAGCCCCCTCCAGCCTGGCCTTGAACACCTCCAGGGATGGGGCAACCTGTGCCAGTGCCTCACCAGCCTCATCGCTTCTGGATTGGATGACTTTGCTGCTGCTAAGTGGTTGATGTAAAACTTTACAGTTTACCCACAGGGCAAGGCTTTTGTTTATACATATGTTTTTCATGTTTAAATCCTATAATGGCATCTTTCCCGAGAAAATACCGATGCCAAACAATCTTTAATACATTTTCTAAAGCTAACATGTATCTTTTACCTCTTGCGAGGAGCTTGTTACTTCTGAGAAAAGCTTATCTTTTGGACAGCAAAAATTATATTCACTCCAGAGATTAAATACTAAGGTATTTCAACTTTTTATAAAGGGTTAAGCCGTACGAAAACGGAACTTGGTCGTAATGAGGACTTCATGAAGCTATATCAGCAGCTTAGAGACATGTTTTCAGACACATCTCTGGCTTCAGTGAATGGAAACGTTTGCAAGAGTAAAACAGGTCAGTATTTCCCTTTTAGGGACAGAATATCTACTCTCTGTTTAAATGAAACAGTAGATACCTCTGCATAGCTTGTAGATGCAGGAAGCTATTTGTTGTCATACACTCGGCTAGTATTCTTTATTCCAGATTGGTTTCCCCAGACTTTATTTATCTCCCTACCTACCTATCTATCTATCTACCTATCTGTCTTCTCTTGGTGGTTTTCGCTACCTTCAAACAAGTTTTCTATGTTTGAAGTTTTTAATTTGATTTAAAATGAAAGGGTAAAGTAGTACTGTTTGACTATATGTCTTTTACAGTGCGACTGTAACAAAAGTAACAACGCTTTCTCAAAAACTGGGTTTAACAAATGTGCTTCTGTAAGTAGTTTACTGATTTGTTTGTATAGGTGAATGCAGTTAGACCTAGCGTCAGGAATTGTATATCTGAGTTGGAGAATTACAATGGGAGGCAATGAAGTTCACTAAACCTTCATACTTGGTGCAGGCTGCTTACGTCTTTAATTGCTTTACTTCCTTTTCAGTGTTTGAAAAGAAAAAGGAATTTATCTACAGCCATCCAAAATTAAGGAAATTGGAGGAAATTGTAAAAGAACACTTCAAATCCTGGAAAAAAGGATGTTCTGGTAAGTACCAACAATTCAAAGAAAATGTATCTGAACAGTTGAACCTGTGGATGAACACAAATAATACCTTACTGATTTACTTCCTAATTTGTTCAAGTGCTTCTTTATTGTCTTCTATGTTTGTATATCTTCTGTGTGGAAAAGTCCTCTCTGGAAGAACTATTACCATAAAATTTCTTTAAGAAAAAACATTCTGTAAGCTATCATTATTAATTTGATATGTTCTGTTCCACCAGGTTAGTAAAACAGAGATAGTAAGCTCATACCTAGTGCTACTATGTCTCATGATTTTCATAGTCACAGAATTTGTTCTGGAAACCATCTCTCAGTGCAGCGCTGCCATTACCTCCTGCAAAATTAGATGCAATGTACTTACAGAGCTTAAGGATAAAAGTTGTGATATCCAGCCTGTTGCTAAGATGACAAACTCTGAGGCACGGATTTGAAGTTTAAAACCTTCAATTACATTCATCTTTCTCTCATTCTTTTCTATCTTGACTGAAAGGGAGAACAAAAATACATCATACAAGTAGCATGAGATTATAAAGCAAAATATTCTGAATCATTCAGACATCTCTGGTTTTAGGAAGTCTCAGCTTCTTGATCCAGTTGTTGCTTTTGGAATGATGACATCAGTAACAATTTTTTTTTTTTGGCAATTTTTTCACTTTTTTTCCTTGTCTGTCTGTATCTCTGTGCTCTGTGAAGTTCTGATAATGTCTGACCTGCCCTTCAGTTTTGGTGGTGTATTTTGGTTGGGTTTTTTTTTTTTTTTTTTTTTTTTTTTTTAAATACTTTTTTTTTTTTTTTTCTTTCTATCTTAGATACTTGATTCTCAGAACAGACTTTAAATGACTGCTACTTTCTAGTAGCAGTCTAGGCAACTTTAAGTTTCCTCATTTCTTGGTTTTTTTTTTAGTTTATAGTATGTCCAAATGCATTTAATCAAATTCCTTTCTTCTTCCCCCCCCACCTCCCTTTCCATCCATACTTCTCTCTGTCCTCCCTGCCTCCCTCCATGCCTCTGCCCTGTTTCCTGTAACAGTATCTTTCTAAGGTATTGCCTTTTGTTTTCAAATTCTGTATTCTGTACTGGAGTTACTTTAACTAAGTTTCATATTTAATACTCTCCCATCTTTTGATAGCATGGATTTTGCTGTCACATGAATCCCTTCAGATATGTTTTTCCTTGCAATTTTGGTCAGACACGTCTCTTAATATTACTAACAGGTAATTAATTAATAGACAAATGTTTTGGTTTTGTGTCTGTGTTCATGAACCTCAGAAGTGAGTAGGCATGAACCTTAAGTCTTCACTGTTATAAATACAAAATTACAGTAACTGTGCAGGAAGAAATACATAAACTTTTATAGCATAATTGGCAAGGTATGGTAGCATATCTAGTCATATCTTGAGCTAGGTGTGTAAGGTTTTCTGGCTGTCCTTCCTTGCTCCTGACCCTGTAACCTCCTTTATCCTCGTAACTAAGGGGCAAGGCAAGACCATGGGGAATATGAAGCGGTGTTCTGAACACAGTTCTCTAGATACAGGTAGTTAAATTTTAAAGCAAGTACGAACAACTGCTCCTGAAATCTTTGTGTATAACGCAGGGCTAGAAAGCACTTCACCACACGCAGTCTGATCACAAAGTTGGAGGCATTCTAGTAACTTAGGCAATGTAGTAAGCTCCAGCTTGTGCCTCCTAAGCTCATGCATCTCCAACCCAAACGCAGCGGGCAGTTGACAGAAATAGCGAGGCAGTGTCATAGCGTCTCTGATGATACCTTTTGAGCAATAGCCCCAAACCTGTATTTCTACCCTTACTCCCTGGTTCTTGGAAGTAAACTCTTAAATTCACACGTAGACAAGTAGCTACACCCTTAATTCTGGCTTTGGACTGAGTAGAGTACACACCCGTGTCCTGATTTCTCCCTCCTCCAGACAAGAATTTGTCATGAGTCTGTCAATAAAAACCTGAGTACTTATTAAGATTTCAAATGTAATCGCAGGTATCTTTGTTCCACCAGAAGGCTCTGATATAAAATCCTAAACCATTCCATGAGCAGTGGAAAATACATTCAGCATTTGTTTCGGGAACTCGTGCAAGTGTGTAGCATCTCTAGGGGAAAAAAAGAGAAGCAAACAAAACCCCTGCACTTAACTCTGCTTTGTTCCAATTATGCATTACTGAACTACTCTGAATCATAATTTACGGTGTTCATGCCTGCGTAATTTTTAAAACAAATGACTACTTCCGCGAAACATTTTCCTTGAAAAGCCCTACATTTGAGACAGAAAAGGAAAGTATTGGTAACCTAAGTCATTAGCCGTATCAGGAACAACACTAGCTCTTTTTCTTCCATTTGCAATGAAACCTCTCGTATGAGAGCCTGCGGCAGTAGTGCCAAGCTGCCTGTGCAGTCTCTGAACCATTTCTCACTAGTGATCAGCCAGGGTAAGTCTGAGCTTCCTGACCGCGTAGCTATTGCCCCTGCTTTGCACGATGCAGTTACCAGCAATTAGGTAAGTGCAAGATGGCATTCTGGCCAGCCTTTAAGAAATGTTGGCTCAGCACAATGAGCTACTCGCGGCTAATCTTCCATACCTGGATTACTTGTCAGGTTGATTATGGGCTGCTAATGTCTTGAATTTTCTAAGTCTGGTTTTGGATAAGGTCAAGGAGGTAATGGCAGCAGTATAACAGTTTTTACAGTACAGGGACAGATGCTACTGAGCGTTATTGCTATTCAAGTCATGAGAATATGCTACAAATAGATATAGAATAATGTTGTTCAGAATAAAGTTAGTGGAGGAGAATAATATGAACTCATGTAAGTAAGATATATCCAACCTGCACTTCCTCTGAAATGTATAGCTTGTCAGTCTGCTCAGGATGGCAAATGATACAGAACACATTATATCAGTGTTGCAATTGCCTGTTTTCTAGCTAAAAATACTGAATCGCATTCACCATTTCATTTCTAGGCCTTTACTGGGGACTGGTTTCTGTACTTGACAGATGACGTCCCATATCACCTGCAGTTTACTGAAACAGTGCAGTAGCATATCATAGAATAATTTAGACTAGTTGGAAGGGACCTCTGGAGATCCTCTTGTCTAACCTCCTTGGCTGTCAGCCTCAAGAGTGAAATCTGTTTTGACCGGAGGCAGCCATCTTCATAATCTACCCGTGAATTCAAGGCTCATCTCAAAAAGAAATGGGGAAAATGGTTAGCTTCAGCTTCTCCTTTTTGACTTAAGCTGCTGAAAGCATTTCTGCATGTAGATTTGCACACCTAAAAACTAAAACAGAGTTTCTGATAGTTGGTCAGAAAGATACATATGCTTATCTGTTACACTTAATGCTTTAACTTCAAGAAACAGCTTGATACTCGAATTACAGGCATAGCATGAAACTGTTGTCAGGCGCCAAGTGACTCTTCTTCGTACGTTCAGGGAAACATCTTTTTACACATTCAGTCTTGAGAATTTTAATTCATTGTCTAACCTTTCTTTTAATGAGATATAAAGATGTTTTGTGGAGAATTGTGTAAAAAAGGAGATCTTTATCCCTGGAAATCTATTTGATTTCATCTGAGAGCTGTCTAGGTAATGCATGCAAGCTGTACCAATTTCAGTATTTCATTATATCCTTTTAGAGATTATCTTTTTTAACATACTAGGTTTTTACTTCGTAGCATGCAGTAATGGCATGTTGCTTTAGTATTTGGGCAGGATAAACAGAAGCTGACTGTTCAAGACTTGCATGTTGCTTAGATAGCTTTTGCTTGCACTCATGAAGGCAGATAGCTTTATATGTTATAAAAAAAAGAAGACAAAAAAGAAAAAAAAGTTGAGGACCCAGAAGACAAAATGTGTGATGGTATAACATAAGAAACGTGGTTTTAGTCAAAGGCTCCTTGCTAAGAAAGTGTGTCAGTGCAATTATTTTTCCCTTTTCTTTGAAAAGCTTTGATTCCAAAGAGGAATTGTTTGAGCAGGTATATCTCAGAGCATTTTCTGGGAGGTTGGCTTAAGTAGGCTGAGAGGCTCCTAATTGTCAGTTTTCTCTACTGGATTTTATTATTTATTAGGGTTTGGGGCTTTTTTAAATAAAATCTATTTTAAAGAAAATTTCTTTGAAAAAATCAAAATTCAGTATACTTGGACAGAATCTTCCCATTAAGTGAGATGACAGCTGTGAATGTGTAGCTTATGGGATGACCTGTCCTTACTTTTTTTTTTTTTTGTAATTATTTTAAAATCATACATAAAGATGCTTTTCTGGCTTTTTGAAATTAAACAGATCAAGTCATGGCTGAAAGCACATCTGTGGACGCTGTGGATACCAGAGTGATGATCTTCTCATCGTTTCGAGATAGCGTGCAAGAAATTGCAGAAATGCTTTCCCGACACAGCCCAGTTGTTAGAGTAATGACGTTTGTCGGCCACTCCACAGGGAAGAGCACAAAAGGCTTCACACAAAAGGAACAACTTGAGGTAAAGAAAAGATGAGACTTGTATTAGGAAATAGTGATAAAGAGCATTAATTGTGTAAATAACTACATGAGTATCAATGTAGATTGTATGGCAGTGACTGAACTTTAAAGTGACATTAGTAAATTCCTATGTGGTTCAATTGCTTTCAGAGTATCCAAAATTATACTCACTGAACAGAATGTGTAAGTAGAAATACTTTACGTATTTACGTTATATTAACAACTGCTAACTTTTATATATTTGAAAATCTGGGCAAATATTCAAATCCTTGCTTAGGGGATTCTTTTTTCTTGTAGGTAGAAAAAATAAGATAGATCCTTAAATTTTGATCTAGCAAAGTTAAAAAAAAAAAGTAATTGCCAAGTGGGGAAGATCAATTTTAGAAGAATGCCATGGTTGGAGTCAGAATAAGGTGTGCTTTTTTTCCTTTTATTTTAGAATGGAACAGTTGATATGCTGATGTTGATAACATTAGCGTGTGGTGTTTGATCACAAATTCAGAAAGACTGAGTTTTGTAGTTTTAAAATATAAATTAATTTTTTTTCAACTTCTGTCTGAACCTAGAAAACCGGCAGAGTGTGTATAAGGGGCTTTCTGGCTAACCTGTTAAATCTAATTTTAATCATTTATTCAGGTGGTAAAACGCTTTCGTGAAGGTGGGTATAACACTCTGGTCTCCACCTGCGTTGGGGAAGAAGGCTTAGACATTGGAGAAGTTGATCTCATCATCTGCTTCGACGCTCAGAAAAGTCCAATTCGCCTTGTGCAGCGGATGGGCCGAACGGGGCGCAGGCGGCAAGGCAGGATCGTCGTCATCCTCGCCGAAGGGCGGGAGGAACGGGTGAGTCTGCAGCTTTCTTCTCGCTGGGAAAACAAAGTGACTTCTTCAGGCTGTTCCAGGAACCTATATAGCGTGCGTTAAAAATCACAGCAATCCTGAGCGCTCCCAGCAACGTTTTAGCTGTCCCTGCAGGAAAGTGTAATAGCCCGCAATATTCTAAAAATATGTGCACTTTCTCAATGTGAAGGGCTTCAAGTCTTTGTTCTAAATGGCGCTTATTTCGTAACTGATAAACTGAAACGCAGAAAATAGAGGGTCTTTGCCAAGGGTGCAGAAGGGCGTGTGGAGGAGACGGGGATGGAGCTCTGAGAGCGGGAGGACTGGAGGTGCCTCGCTCGGAGCTGCTGACGACACTGCGCTTGCAGACGAGCGCTCAGTGGTAGCAGACTTGCGTGTGAGGTCTGAAGAGATCAGCTTAAGTGGAAATCTACTTTTGCTAAATTCCTGAACCTCAGCGCTCAACTCGGAGTATAATTAATCGTCTCTGAGTGCACGCTGCTCCTTGGGAAACTAATGTACCAGTGGAAAACTAAGCCGGGAGCGGGGAGAACCGCTCTTGGCTGTACCAGCACGCCGCCCAGCCTCACCCGCAGCCGCGCCGTTGCTAGGCGTGAGCCAAGGAAGCTGGCGGGGCAGCCCCTGTCGACGTCGCTCCTTGGTGAGCTTGGTCGCAGAGTAACACGAACCTGCATCTTCTCAGTTTCATCCTGCCACCCCTGTTGGGATGCGAGGCGTTTTTAGGGTGCACTCACTGTTCTGGCTGAAAATTGATTTTCTTCTTCGCTGGTTTTGTTTACTCGGGAGGTTGGTTCTGAGTTGGATCGGGTTTCATGACAGGGAAGTCTGAGATCTGTGTAAACCCAAAATTTCAGAGTCTTGCTATTCTTTCATTTATTCCAGTTGATGTCATGCTTGTCATGTCATGACATGTCATGATGTCATGGTTTAAATTTGTAGGTGGCAGGGATTTAATTCTAAATGGGGGTCCAACGAATCCTGCCTGAGGGGAAAAAAGCTGCTTTGAAGGGATGAGAGTTAAAAGTGATAAAAGTGAATGGTGTTTGTAAATAGATGTTTCCTCATGCTTCTTATGAAGACTGATTACTACTGAAAGCTCTGCTATGTAATGGGATATTAAAATGGTCCCTTAAATTCCATGGAGTTTCTCTTAAGCAGTTGGATTACTGGGTTCTTCAGATTTTCTCAGAAATCTTTGAAGCAGAACCTTCCCCCAGGTAGGATAGTAATTTTATATAACTTTTTTTGTTTTGAGATCATGAAATACATTTAATTGCTGAACAGTATTGGCTTTGTTTGTTTGTTTTTGCTTGGGTTATGGTTTGGTTTGGGTTTTTTTGATTGAGTCTCTTTCCAGATCTGTTAATGTGGAGATTCTTCCCCGTCGCATAACTTGCAGCTAAGTAATTAATGGTCTTGTATTAATTTGTGGGAATTTGTTTTTCTTTTTTAAAAAATCAAACCACTTCAATTACAAAGCTTTTGAAGAAATTTTATTGGGAAAAATTGGAAAATGCCGGTCTGGAAGTTTGACGTTTGGCAGGAACTTGTGCTACAGAAGTGTCTATGACTGTTCCTGTCCTCTCCTCCCCACGTGTTTCCCCGCCCGGCGCCGCCGTCCCGCCTGGAAGCGTCTCGGCGGGGCAGCGCGCGTCACGTGGCTGCACCCTGCTAACGCCCTGGGTTCCCTGAGCGTTCGGCTCATGGATCGGCTGCCTTTCTGGTTCGGCCGTGCGCCGAGACGCGCTGTGTTTTGATTTGGGTTTTTTAACGTCCTGTGGCAGGTCAGCTGCACATGTGCCAGCCTGCAAGGGGCTGTTGGCTGCGGATTTAAACTGATACAGAGAGACGGGCACGGGGAGCTCCCAGCCTCTCAGGCTCCTGTCGGGCCAAACAAAGGACAAGGAAACATACTGACTTAGTAACAGCAAAGTAACAATTCTGTTAAGCAATGCATTTGGTAATATAATTTTTTTTTTCCATAAAATGACTTTTTTGCCTGTTCTAGGATTAAAAGGTATTTACTGGAATGCCTGAGGGATGGTATAATAGAGCTAGCCGTTAACATCCTCCAGTTTTATTCAGAGAACATCTTTTTGTGTCCGTCTCCTCTAATCCTGGCTTCCAAAGCTCGTGTCAAAAGAACATAGCTCCCGTACTGTCATACTCGGAGCACTTAGTCTGCCTGACTGGGCACGCTGTCTCCATCGGTGGCCTGCAACAGGGACTCGGAGAAGAGCGTTGGGACAAGAAATGTTCAGAGTGGGGACCACTTTCTTTCCTTAGTTTCTCCATTTTTGTCTTGGTTTCTCTGTTGCGCCATAAAAGTGGAGTGTAATTAAAAGGGCTTGGAGCACGTGTGACATGAACAAATAATCTTATGCCTTTTTTTTTGCTTGACCTCCTTTCTTTGTTTCTGATGTAATCTAATTTACATCATCCCTGTATCTATTGCAGATTGTAAATTCCCCCAGGTAAGGGCTGTGTTTGTTTTTCTCTCAAGTGCTGTGCCTACTTCTGATCTATTTACAGAGCGTAAAAAGCTGTATATTGTTTTATATTTTGTATTGGTTGCAACTTAAAGAACAATCACTGTCCTTCGGTACTTACTTGCTTTTTGCTACATTTGCTTTGAATGTTTTACCTAGGCACAAAACGATGATAATTCAAATTTAATTTGTCTTAGGTATTTTAGTATGGAAGCTCTTTAAAAAAAGAAAAGAAAACCCCACCTTAGTAGCTATGTTTTAACGTATTCATTATCAGATTTTCAATACAACCTTATTGCTTTGTTGTTTTCATCTATGCCCTTCCGTTCCTCTGTTCTCTCTGCTTTGGTTACCATAATTTGGGGCGTACTGGAAGTTTTGAACTTGCAGTTGAAGAACTTGCACAAGCAGTTATGTTGACCTAACAGGCGATATTCACGGAAGAGGGAATATGGTTGGCTCTCAGAGCCGTGCATCATATTTTGTTTCAGTTGTGTTTGGGGAAGAAAAGGGAAAAAAAAAAAACAAAAACAGAAAGCATCTTGATGACGGAACACAAAATAATGAGAAACCTCACAGACACTCAGGTGGTGTTTTACTTTTGATCAAGTTGTGTGAAAAAATGATCCAACAACATATGATTTATCCTCTCTTTTACAGACTTACAATCAAAGCCAGTCTAACAAAAGGAGCATCCACAAAGCTATTTCAGGAAACAAAATGCTTCATTTTTACCAGCGTAGCCCACGTATGATTCCACAAGGCATAAATCCAAAGCTGCATAAAATGTTTATTACTGCTGAAAAATATGAACCAAGCAATTCAAGAATGCTTTCCAAAGAGAGAAGAACTAGTTCCCTCCAGCATAAATCTGCTCTCTTTTCCTGTGTCACTGGTAAGAGGATTACGGTTCTTTTCTAAGCACTGCGTAAGCTGCTATCTCGTGTTGTTATATTACAGCATATCAAAACTGCGTGCTCACCTGAGTTTCGGGTCTACCTAAAGTGTACTTTCTGTCAGCTGTAGCCTTTCGACTGTGATGCTGTGCTGACTGCTGCTTTGCTTCCTCATCCTTTTCCTTTAACATCCTCAAATCCCAGTTCTGTCCTTAAATATTCGTACTTCAGACATTTGTTTCATCCTTCTCCATAGAGCTTATGGAGTCAATGACTGAAGGTCAGAAACTCCAGCTACAAACAGAAGAGGCAAAAGTTAATGACGTCTTCTGAAGAGCTCTGATACACCTGTGTCAGGTGGCACAATTGTCACTTAAATGTTTAGTGATAATTCTGTACCCAATCCGGTTTTGAGCTTTAACAGTTAGGCTTAATGTTGTTATTAATACAATAAAAGTATGTCTTCTACCTTTGTAAATGACAATAAAGCAGAAGTGCTTGAAAACCGAAGGATTTCGAGGGGAGGAAAAGGAGAAATCAAGGGTTGGATATTTATGAATTTCATACACCCTTACAGGAAAATTAATATCAAAAGAGAAATGGCTCTTTAGCTGGTGCAGGTACATGGCACTGAAATGCTCAGGAAACTGAACCAAATTATAAGATAGGAAGAGAGTGCTAAATTTTGTAAGTACTTGGAAATTGTCATGCTCGATCTCTTTGGTGAAGTGCTTTCTGTAAAGACCAATAGCAACTTCTTGAAAGAAGAAACTCCTAAAAGCCTTGGAAGACTTCATATTTCAGTAGTTAGACTGAAATTTAGTTAGACTAAAGTTAGACTTCAGAGTTAGTGGTTTTTTAATGCTTCTGATCACAGAAATTCTTATTATCAAAATCTACATCTGATCTCTTTCCAAACGCCATCCAAGGAAACAAAAGGCTGAACATAGAAAGGGAGAGCAAGCTACAAAATCATGCAGAAAAAAATCTGCTTCCCCTTTGGCCTCCAAACCAGTTCATGCTCTTTCCCATTTTGCAGGGTAGAAATGTAATGGAGAAGAATTAGCATGGATAAATCAATCTGAGCATGCCATCCTCAGCCCAGACTCTGTAAGTGTGGCGTGCCGCAGACGCAGCTGCGGTGATGCTCCCGATCGCGATGCTTGCCCTCTGCCTCTGGAGCCTTCTGCGAGGCGCGCTTGTCTGTCCTGTGCGCAGCCCAGCTGGCGGCCAGGGAGGAAAACCGAGGATGGAACAAACAGGCACAGCTTGCAAGAAAATAAGCAGAGCAAAACATGGAATTAAAATAATCATTTCAGAACGTTCGTAAGTCTGTCCTAGAAAATAGAAAGGAGAGGCAGTAAGTGCATACAGAAGATAATGCGCTGAACGTATTTCCTGCAGGCTGCAATTACCAGGTTCCTTTTGTGTGAAATAGGTTAGCAGCTGCCACAAGTGAAGAACAGGGTGTGTGCGGAGGTCTGTCCGTTGCCGAAGATGAACATGATTGACTGCCCGTCTCGCAAACAAGTGTTACATGAGTGCAAATTATTGAGCGCCAGCTTTGTGTTGAAGTCCCCTTCATTACTGTATGAAGCAAGTTCTGATTTTAACCATGTTCAAGATAAATCTCAAAAAGAAGAGAAAGGTCTTTATTTTTTGCATTTTCTCCTGTCCATATTTGTGCCCCCTTCCACACTAGAAAATTGAAAAAGCTAGCACTAGTGAATAAGCTGTGTATGTTCTTATTTGTGCCCTCTTGCTTTTCCTTTGGTCTTGAGGTTCAGTTGATCTTCAGGTTTGTCCACGGAATAATACACGTGCACAGAAATTGAAGTATCATGGGCAGAAGTCTCGTAGTAATTTCAAGCATTCTCCTTCTTTTCTAGGCAAAGTTAAACATTTCCTTTTCTTCTTAGTTTGATTCAATTTCTATTAATTTTACACTACCCTTCCACTTCAAAAACTCTTTCATAAATTTTATCTGTTTGTCAGTATCAGAAGGACACATTATTCTTGTCCTGCCCCATCACTAACCAAGTGTGTTCTTCAGTTGTATGAGCTTTTCTTCAAAAAGTACAGCTACAAGAGCAAAAATCCCATTACTCAGCACTTTGTCATACTGTTTCTTCTAATTTGAGATTCTTTTCTCTCTCTCGGTTTTGTTTTGTGTGCGTGTGTGGGTTTTTTTGAGTTTGCTAAAATTGAGTAGCATATTAGTAAGTGCAGTAAAATCAAAAAGCATTTAAGAAAGAATATTTTGTGCTTAAAATGGCTTGGACTCATTGGAGGAAAAATCTCTGAACAGATATCTTTGGAGACAGCTCGTTTTTTTTTATGCTCATCTTTTTTTGTTTTATAAAATGAAAGTAACTGTTCCACAAGATAATTGAAAAGGTGAAAGTACTGAATGATCTGGATAATCATCTCTAACATTATTGTCTTTGCAAGATCTCTGCCAATCTCCCCGCTCTGTGAGAGGTATGAAAGCACAACAGGCATGGCAAAAAATAGCTAACGCACAGTAAAATGTGCTCTTCCCATACCCTAGTAGCTGAATGTCATTTTAAGCTATCAGTAATTTGTTTTGGGTTTTTTTTTTTTGCGTTTGTCTAGATGAAATCTCTTTTTGTTAATTATTCTTCTCCTGGTTCCTCACAGTTACTCTACTCCCCCCTTTTCAGACTGTATCAATTTTGAGTTGTCTATAACTGTGTTTTTGTTTGATTCTAGAGTTTCACATATTTCTTAATTGCTGTTTTTATCTTAATGATGCAATTTTCTTTTACTGTCTTTTTCTAAGATATACTTATATATATATATACCCATGCAGTAGGAAGGCACGGTGCTTTGTTGCTGCGCTGAGAGGAAAACACTCTGCGTCTGCCTTGTACCAGCTTTGTCTTGTCCTGTTTTTCTCCGTAGAGAACTGTCTTCATCTGATTCAGACAACATCTGGCCTTTTGCTTCTGAAAATTGAGTTGCCTGCCTGCTTCCTTGTGTTTATTTATTTTTTATTTTATTTTTTAAAGGGTGTTTTACCTTTGCCTTTCTGGGGTTACACCTTTCATTGTTTGCAGGATGACAGCTACACAAAACCTTCCTGATAAGGTGGTGGGGCTTTTTAAACTCATTTCAGCTACACCTATTCTGAATTATTTTTTTTCAGCCAGTGACACGGCTTCTCCACAATACCAATTGCATCTTCTGCAGTCATGCCTGCCCCAAGCAAGCTCCTTGTGCTGTGTATGGGAGCATGAATATCAATTTTAATCTGGCCAAAAGTGATCTCAGCAGCAATATTGTGCTTGTTGCTTTACCTGTTGTTCTTCCCTGCCCGTTTCCCTCTCCCACATTCACACACTTCTAGCAAAGGAAGCATTATTCTGCGTCGGTAGTGCGTAATTTCTTAGGTAAACCAGCAGAACCTTTGGACGGTTGAAAGTTTCTTTTGCACCAGCAGCTTTCTTCGTAGTGCGAAGGACAGTTTATGACAATGGATTCGAGGTATCACGGCTGGCTATACTGTCCGGGTTGATATGGTGCTTCCAGTTCCTTCTTTCTTGCCCTTAGACGGAGGTTATTCCTCTGAGAACTGACAGATTCCCTGCTAGCTACAGGCTAAATCCACCTCCTTCCTTCCCCTCCAGGCTGGTTTTTGCTTTCCTCCCAGTTCAAGGGAAAGGAAAATACTTTGGTTCTGGAAAAAAACATGGAAAATAACATTAATGATTTTAGCGATATGTTTGTCTTTGGTAGTACATTGCATTTATAACTCATAAAATGTTCTTAAAGATAATTACCCTTAAAATGAGCAGGTGCTACTTCCCATGAAGGGGAGATGCTGTTGCCAATTACTAAATTCAACAGGATGTGGTAATCACAGAATCACAGGATGCTTTGGGTGGGAAGGGCCCTTCAGAGCCCCCCCAGCCCAGCCCCTGCAGTGCCAGGGACAGCTTTAACCAGCCCAGGGTGCTCAGAGCCCCTGACCTTGAAGGTTGCCAGGGATGGGGCCTCCACTACCTCTCTGGGTAACCTGCTCCATTGCTTGACCACCCTCACTGTAAAAAATTTCTTCCTTATGTCTAGTGTAAATCTATTCTTCTTTAGTTTAAATCCATTACCCCTTGTCCTATCACTACAGGGCCTAGTAAATCTCAACTGTGTATCCAAACAGCCTAATCCTTCGCAATTAGGATGGGAATTCTCTTCTTTAAGAGCTAAAGAAGAGCTCCTGGTACTTTGCAATTACTCAGTATCTACAAAATACTGTAAAAAGCTAGAGCTTATCTGTAGGATATGAACGAGATGTGTGTGTCTGGTGATATTTTACATTCCCTAAGTGAGTCTGTCTGCCAGAATGTAAACTTCCTACCTTTGCTCTATTACCTATAGTGGTCTAAGCTATAAATTGAACTATACTAGTGTATATGTTGTTATTCATTATATATTTCTGTTCATCATAGAATCATAGATCATAGAATCATAGAATGCTTTGGGTTGGAAGGGACCTTCTAGTCAACGTATTTTTTTAAATGTCTTTGGAACATTTTCTTAAGTTTGCTTTTAGTTTTGAGAACTCGTCTTCATCCACACAGTGAGTTTTAGTAATCTCTGACTTGTGGCTTTGTGTAAAAATGAAGCACTTCATAATTTGCAGAATCGACAGTATTCTGTTCAGCTGTAATGGTTCCTGATTAGTACAAATGCATGCCTATTTCCCTGGGCAGCTTGCCTGTATTTTAGCAAACTGCTATTTCAGACTGCTGTGTAGAACTCTGTGACATCTCCTTTTCCTTCTGTTAAGAATGGAGTCTTGAATTTGTAGTTTGTGAACACTGAAAATATAAGGGTGGGGTGGGTGGTATTTTGTTCTTGCCAGCCCTTAAGTCCGAAATTGTATTTTACTTACATGCTGGCAGCAGTCATATTTCTGTGTGTCCCTGTTTCTTTCCATTTTAGTTAGGTTTCACTTGATGTGAAACATCAGTCCCGTCAGAGCTCATGGCGTGTTTCCTCATCTAAGATGAGTAGAACAACGACGGAGAGGGTTAAAATGTTAAAAAGTAGAAGTGAGAACTTGCCGAATAGTTTGCTTTAAGGTAATTTTCCTTCGGTGTGAGATCTGCTTCAGTTTCCCTCCCTGTGTAACAGCAGTTAGGTTGTATGGCTGAAAAAGAGTTTGGAAGCAGACTTCAGTTCCTGCTTTCCTCCCTTAGCCGGAGATACCCATGTATTTGGGTCAGACCTTTCCCCGCGTTGTAAGGAATTACTGTTCCTGGTGAGGGGAGCAGCTGAGCGCTCCACTGGTGCTCACAGGTGCCCCGCACTTCCCACTTGCAGTTCTGAGTAAATAAAAGTCATGAGCCTCTTCTTTCTTTCCCTGCTCCTGGGGAATTTTCACAGTGCTTTTGTTTCTGTCCTCTTACTCATCTGCATGTCCTTATAGAGGAGATCAATTAAAAACCCTGTAATTTAGGCATTAACTCGCTGCCTGCTGGACCATATTGCTGTTCTGCTTTAGCAGCCAAGGGCATTCCCTTCCACTCCCCTCTCACGGGGAGATCTGTTGTGTTTTCTTGTGTACAGAGCCCATTGTCCTGACAGCCCAAAATATTTGTTCTGCTCAGAAACAGAGGCTTAATACCTCTGTTACTGAGCCAAGAGCTGCGGGAAGTATCTGTTACCACATTTTGCCAGCTGCTAGAGGCTTTCATGCCTGTGTAATGTTGGACCATGTATTACTTCGGCCGGTGGTATGGCAGGATCCTCCTGTCTTTGTCAAAGGAGTCGTCCTCTGGAGCTGTAACACAGACAACTGCAGCCATCGGTTGTTCTTGCTGTTTCTCTGGATGTGTCTGGATGGCAATGGTTCATCACCTGAGGTGTTAGGGAAAGTTCCGGTATGCTGTCTGGACGGTCATCTCACGAGCAAGAGGGAACCCAAACTAGATCTGTTTGTCTACAAAGTTTCTTGCTGGTGCCCGCTTTTTGCTGTCTAACAACTTGCTGTTAGAAAGTGCGTTCTTGGCTCCTTGGTAGGCCATCTTTTTGCATCTTGGTTATGAAGATACGTCTTAAGTGAGGCAGTCGAAGTCACTCTGGACTGGCCAAGGGCGTTAGGTTTTAGTTACAGCTGAGGACTCTTTCTGGCCTTTCCTTTCTACCTTGTCCAGGCAACTGTCCAGAACTGCACACTAATCCCAGACTGACATCTTCTGTCTTGGTGTGCGGGTGCTAGAGCAGACCTAGCACTTAACTGTTCTTATAAACAACAGGAAAGGCTGTGAGGTCCGCTTTTCTGTTAAGTGGTCTTAATTTTTCCTTCAGGTTTCTCTTTTTTCCTCCTCTACTGGGTCCTTGAACTGTGTGTTAGCTATAAAGGAGTGTAACATCTCCTAGACTTGAATCAAAAATACTTTAGTAGCAATATTGATGTTCTGGATATTTTTAACAGTGGCCTTAAAAAATTCAATGTTGGCCAGTTTTTTCCAGCTGTGAAAGACTTTTTCTGAACAGGACTTGAACCTAGTACTCTGAACTCTCAGGGATCTGTTTTTGAGTCTCTAATAAACGTTGTCCCACCATCCTGCGGAGACCGTCTCTGGCAACCGTACTTGAGAGGATTGAGAGGTACAGGCTGACTCCTCTTACATGGCACTAACTCAGAGTGGGGTGGTGGCTGCAGATTCATCTCAAACCCTGCCTGCAGACTGACTGTCAATTGAACGTCATTATTTTTCTCCAAGCTTCATACATCTAGGCTGAAAGCAATCGCATTCTTAACACGCTCCTAACACTGATTCTTTGGATGCTGCTTTGCTTCTGCACTGATGGCTGTTTTGAGGGATTTGGCATTTTTTTGGATAACGGTCGTATTGTATCAAAGCTTGCTGTCAGACTGCCAAAAATGACTCCCATTACCCCTTCGTCACTGGAGTGTACTTGCCCAGAGCCAAGCAGCACCAGGGCCTTGCCTTCAGTAAGCTGCCCTACAAGCGCTTATTTTGTTTTTATCTAGCAGTGGTGCTCACGGGCGCCCTGTACTTCCCACTTGCAGTTATGAGTCTAAAGAAAACTCACAAGCCACTTTTTTCTTTCCCCGTTCCTGGGGAATTTTTGGTTTTTGTACTTCTGTTTCTGTCCTCTTGTTCATCTGCATGTCCTTAATAGAGGAGATCGATTCAAAAAATGACTAACAAATATTTTTGTCATGACAAATTAATGTTGCTTTCCAGTACTTAAAAAGTAACTTTAAAAAAAAAAAAAAAAGGCAAAAAAAAAGGCGGAGGGGGAAGCTTTTACTTATTGGGAGTTAGTTCCCCAAGGTCTCAGACACACGTTTAGAAATTCAAGCCATGTGCTTTCCCTGTTTGCTATACTGTCTTCAGGGCCTCTAGGTATTTCATATACGTATATCTCTCTATTTATATCTGTCTGTCTATCTTTATCTTTGTTTATATGATGCCTTCCACCAAAACCATCATTTAATAGATAGATTTATCCATAATTCTAACACATGCAACACTGTTTTGATATTTGTTTCTGACAACAGATTATCTGTATCTGATTCTGCTTGTGGCACAGAGAAGGTATTTTTTATTTTGACTGGTATCATACAGAGTTCTTTTTATTCTGTGTATCCTTTTTCTTAAAGTCGGTAACATTTTCCTGTTATTGTTTTTCCCTCCGTAGGCCAAAAGCAAATACACTGTCATGAGAATTGGTCTCTGTCGCCTGAGGAATTTGAAATATGGGACAGACTTTACAGGATTAAGGAAAATGATGGAGTAAAGGAACCGATACTGCCTCAAATTCAATTTGAAACCTTAGAAAACCTCGAAGAAGTATCGGTGAGTTTAACCTAGATGTAATGTTTCCTTTGACATGAGGCCTAAAGGATACCCTAAGTAACAAAGTCAACTACGAATCTGAAGGAGGTCTACAGTAAAAATGCAATTTTGAGAATTATATGTAGGTTTTTGAGGTTAAGAATTTAGGAATTAGGTGCTTGAAAAGGGTCTTTGAGGTTAGGTCTGTAAATTAAAAATACATTTAAAAGTCTTTCAGTATCCAATAAGTTCTGTTCCTGTTTCTAAGGATTCTGTGCAGGATGCTGTATTCATGTAGGTATTGTATCCACACTTTTTCATTTCCTTGTTTATATAACTATAAAAGTGTTAACTGAAAGAAAACCTCAAGTTTTACAAGCTCTTTTTTGATTCGGAGAAAAAATTAGCAGCTCTTGTGTCATTTCACCACTTAAAACAACCTGTCTTCCATGAAAAGTCGTGGCAACACAAAGCGTGGTATTGTTTTTATTTTAGAGCAGACTTAAACCTTTGTGATAATGTTTAGTTACTTTTCTACATTCAGAGTATTTATTGTCCCTGACAGAAAAGTAGACATTAGTTTTGCTAAACAATTTCTTGATTAAAATCTCCTTGCCAATCTTAATTTCAAACTGCAGAAGCATGAAGAGAAGGCAACTCATGAACTTTCCTTGTCTGAATGGAGAATTTGGCAGAACCGTGCTTTTCCGACATTCATGGTTGATCACTCAGATCGTTGCTACCATTTTATCAGTGTTATGGAAATGATAGAACTGATGAGACACGAACAGGTAAGGTGTTTACGTTTGGCTGGCTGTAAACATATGCAAGTATTTAATGCACAGTTGACTATTTAAAAAATAATGAGTGCTGCCCTAGTTCTGTCTGGTCAGCTGAAACAAGAAGTGGGGAAGTGTTTGCGTGGAGCTAAGCTAGGCATTGCAAAATGGGTAATGTGTATTTAATTTTGTTTCAAAATGTCTTCCACTGGTATTCTGTAATTCTTAATCTTTTCCACAGAAGTTGTTTATAAACAGTTAGTGTTTCCCTAAACAGAAAAAACCCCCACCCATAAATCATTCTTGTTTTAATAGATCCGAGTATCAATTTTTTTACAAAAAGACATTAAATACAAAAACTATATATATCTTGGAGCAAAGTCACCAAGAGTGATATTAACTATCCCAGAGTGTGGTAGGAATTGGAAATAACTTTTTATCATCTATGTACATTAAATGCATCCCATGAAAATTATGCAGGAATGTATTGCGTGTTTTAAGGTGGTTGTGTTTTGAGGCTTTTTGGTTTGTTTTCTGTGAAAGCTTTAATTAAAAACCTCCTAAGAATTAAAGGACAAGAGGAGGGCAGTCAAACAAACATGGGTGAAAACCATTTGGGAGATGAGAATTTTGCTTGCTAACAGTTACGGGTAGCAGATAGGCCTTTATGATGAAAGGCACGTACAGGAAATTGCGTGTAGGGGTAGCTCTGTTGACGGTACCTGAAGGCTTCAGTTGTTCACCACATTATTTTTGCCTCCAGTTTAGCTCTTCTGTGTTCCACACATAATGCTTTTTGGTGTGTTGAAGTTTTCTAGGTCATCAGAATCTGTTGCTAAGCTGCCAGAGTTTCCTGAATAACTAGACTGATCAAGGAAGAGAATAGAGACATTGTAGTTGTACTCCTTGCTAGGGAAGTGTATTAATGGAAAGTTGTAAATAGACTTTCAGGGCTAAGATAAGCTTCTCCACTTCATCACAGAACAATGGCATGCTTGACTTCTTTGAGAGTTTGCGTTCCCAAGCTAGGGTCAAGTACATACTGCCAGAGAGAGAGAACTTTGGGGAGAGTTCAGGTATAGAGACCTGAAGGAAGTCAAGAGGCAAAGAAATGGTTAAAAAATTTAGAGTTGCTCTTCTAATTGAGGACTTCCCTCCCCACCACCAAATCAGGCACTTGAAATATTTGTGACTTAAGTTCCTTTTGTGGAAGTGTACTGATACCAGAAGTCTGTTTGGGTTCCCAAGCGCCTTCGGAAGTTGTAAATGCTAAACCAACATCTGGCACCCTTAAAATAATTTACAGAGCAAATTTGTGAGTCGACAAGCGAGTCTTCAGTGTTCTCCCCCAAACTCTGCCAAAGTAGATGACAAAAATGATAAGCAAAGCAGAGTATCAAATGCTTGCTTGTGAAAGCAAGCTTTTACAGGGCTTTTGCAGAGACAGGTCTGCCTGCTATCCCTCACGGGAATGAGACAGCCCAGCTCACCTGCCTCTGCTCTCCACTCCGTAGTGAACGGAGAGGGTGTCCCTTCAACAGACGGGACCCAAAACTACGGCTTCTTGTGGTCCTTGCGGTACATCTTGCTTAGCTCTGATGATGGCCGTCCAGCATAGGCAGGGTGTGGTGTCCTGCATTCTCTGTGTTGCGCTCTGCTCAGAAATCATCTGTGGCACACGAGCTCCCTCCCCAAGTACTTCAGAGCAGGCCTGCGTACAGCACATTGCTGTGCTGCAGAGAGTCTGCAGAGTCTTGGAAAACGCTGGAGGGGCTGCATCGGAAAGGCCAGGATGCAGCTATTAATTGATAACAGGTGGTAGGCAGTTGGCTTTCGCTATTTCTAATTTAACAGCTAAATGTCAGCTTAATCATGATACATTGTAGGTAATGCTCTCTCACTCAAAAGACTGGGACTGCCCGTTATCCCATTCATCTGCCTCCCAGCTCAAAGTTTCAGGCATTATCTGGATTGATTTCCAGCCAGCTTTCTCTGATCTGTCTTCACTAGTCACCGGTGGAGACGCTGAACTTTCTCATCGGTTAGAGGAGAAATTATAATGGGATGTCACTGGCATGCTGAAAACACCTTCTAATGACTCCACTGAATATGAGAGTTTACAACATGACACATCACTCCACCTGTTGAATTCTTCTAGGGAAAAACAAAGCACTAGCAGTAACGCTGGCCATGTCTGACGAGGCTGACAAGGCAGAAGCTACCATCGGCACTGACTCCCGGTTTTAAAACTTCGGTGATGGTTGGCCTCTTTCTTGTATCTAAACCAAATTGTCAAGGTTCGAGGACATCAAAGCTTCACCATAATTGTTTCCCAAAAAGCAAAGATGCAATGTGTCTTAATCTATTTTGTCAGCACTGACAGTGATTTCTTGTATGCAAGTTTTATTAATATTTTCTTAAGTCATCCTTGACTGCTCTGAAAGGCCCGGATAGTCCTCCCAAGACAGGATACATTCCCACTGACGTTCACCGAAGGGAAGGGAAATGAGTGATGTATGTTACCTTTGCAGTGGAATCACCTTGGAGTAGTCACTGTGCTGTGGGAGCACAGGTAATCAGGTAGATTACACCAGCAACAATTTGTTGCCCTGCAACTGGGAAGAGAGCAATCTTCCATATCGCTAACAGGAGAGCATGTATGAGTGTGGGGGAAGCGGTTCTGGTTTCCTGTTACTACCAATCTTGTCCCTGTTCAGTCTTCCTACAGCTTCATTTCTGGTGAATCAGAAAATGCATACAGAGAAAAAGGGGTGTACTTATGCAGTAATCAGACCAAAGAACCTTCCAATATAAAATATTTTTTTAAAAATGTGTCTGTTCTAAACCATTTGTTGGCGAATGTCACCTGCTTTCAGGGCCATCACCACTACCATAGATCAGTTCAGTTTGGACCTGTGGAGCTCTCTGGTCCAGTCCAGGGCCCAGGCAGACCAGGTGGCTCAGGGCCTTGACAAGTCAAGCCTTCGGGATCTCCAGGGTTGGAATCCCACAGCTTTTCTGGGCCCCTGGTTCAGTGTTTCATCACCCTCATGGTGAAAAAATTTCTCCTAATATCTAATTGCAATTCCCCTTGTTACATGTTGTGCCCATTAATTCTGGCCTCAGCGTACCTCCAGGAAGCCTGGCTCTGTCTTCCCTCTGCTCTCACATTAGATCGAGGTAGTAGTAAGATCCCCCTCTTAAGACTGAACAGAGTTCCCTTGGCCTTCCCTTGGACACCCTTGTGCTCCAGCCCTGTGACAGTTTTGGCCGCCTCTGCTGGACTTGATCCAGTCAGAGGCATTTCTTGTACTGGGGCCCCAAAACTAGACTAAGCGCTCCAGCTGTGGTCTCACAGAGGATGAACAGAGGAGAACAACTGCTTCCCTTGCCCTGCTGGCTACTGTCTCGGTAACGGAGCCTGGGTGCGATCGTCTTTGTTGCCACAAGGGCACACTGCTGTCTCGTTTTTCTGTCATGAGGTTTCTGTCGTCCTGTTGAGGACCCTCTGGACAGCAGCCCTGCCCTCAAGCATCTCACCTGCTATCATCTGCAAACTTCCTGAACGTGCGCTCTCTGCTGTAGACAAGGTCAGTAATAAAAATGTTAAAGACTAAAAACCTCTTGAGAAATTCTCCTAGCAGCTAGCCACTGGCAGAACTTCATACCAGTCCTCAAAACGCTGTCATCGTGGTGGTCCAGCCAGTTTTCCACCCACCCTTATTCTCCACTTACTCAAACCATATCTCACGAGTTTAGCTATGAGATTGTGTCAGAAGCCTTGGCAAAGTCAAGGTAAGCAACGTCCACTGCACTTCTCTTGCCCACAAAGGTGGTTACATCTTCATAAAAGGCAGTCTGGAATTCTTCATCGCTACGCGTTTTGTATGCTTTGCTGGGATATTCTCTTGAAAGCTTAAATGTTTCCTTACTAGTTTGGTTTGAAGTTTGTACTTTAAACTTAAAATTGGAATAAATGTAACATTCATGTAGCATTCTAATTTCACACATTTAGATTTCCTTACGATATAGTGTTCCCAACACTATTGTGTATAAAGATGCTCACATCAGCATCTTTCCAAAATGAAGCAAGCTTTGCCAAAAACTGATTATTCCACGTTGCCCATAGCCAGACCTATGGGGAGGCATAGATGGTTTACTTTTAACAGTAACTACTACACTGATGGTTTTTTTGTATTGTAGAGTGCTTGTTCTCAGAAGAAAATATTAATTAAAAAATGCAAAAGTACAGCAAAATTAAAGAAACAGATATTGGTAGGCAATGTTTTGAATTTCTGCACACCTGCTGAGGCATGTTTGTCGAGGTGGGTATGTCTCGGCTGTGTTCCTGACTCTGATGCTGTGTGGGTATGAGGAGCTGTGCGGGCAAAATTCCACCGCCTGAAAGAACTGCCTGTGTTTGCAAGTGCGGGGCTGTACAACACCAGCCCTGTGTCTTTTTCTGCCACTGTATTTTCACGAGCACTTCAGCATAAAATTGGGAAAACCGTGGAGGTTTAAAATCATGTTTTTATGCCAAATTTGAATTTAACCCTGTTCAGTGTCCTGCTCTGCTTCACGGTGAGACCCCGCAGACGCGTTGTGCTTGCTCAGGGCAGCACAGGCAGTTCTGGGACGCGTCTGCTGCTGCCTCCTGCGTTGGCTTAGAGCGCTCGTGCCGTGCCTGGGTGAACGCATCCCCCGGGCTTCGCGTGTTCTCAACGTACAGCGCGCAGGTTGGCAGAGCCTTGGTTCAAGCGTGGCGTTTTACAGGCTACTTCGGCCTGGGCATTCTTGGTGAAGATTGTTTCTAGTGCAAGTTTAAACTTCCAGAAGTTTTGCTTTACCATAGTGTCGCGGT